TTGAAAAAATAAACAAAATTGACACCCCATTGGCTCAACTAACTAAAAAAAGAAGAGAAAAGACCCAAATCAATAAAATCAGAGATGAAAAAGGAAATGTAACAACAGACACCACAGAAATAAAAAGAATCATCAGAAATTACTACAAGGACTTGTATGCCAGCAAACAGGGAAACCTATCAGAAATGGATAGATTCCTGGACACATGCAACCTACCTAAATTGAACCAGGAAGACATCGAAAACCTAAACAGACCCATAACTGAGACAGAAATTGAAACAGTAATAAAGGCCCTCCCAACAAAGAAAAGCCCAGGACCAGATGGATTCACTGCTGAATTCTACCAGACATTTAAAGAAGAACTAACTCCAATTCTTCTCAAACTATTCAGAACAATTGAAGAAGAGGGAATCCTCCCAAATTCTTTCTATGAAGCCAGCATCACCTTAATTCCTAAGCCGGGAAAAGATGCAGCACTGAAAGAGAATTACAGACCAATATCCCTGATGAACATAGATGCAAAAATCCTCAATAAAATTCTCGCCAATAGAATGCAACAACACATCAGAAAGATCATCCACCCAGACCAAGTGGGATTTATCCCTGGTATGCAGGGATGGTTTAATGTGCGCAAGACAATCAATGTGATACACCACATTAACAGACTGCAGAAGAAAAACCATATGATTCTCTCAATAGATGCCGAGAAAGCATTTGATAAAATACAACACCCGTTCATGATGAAAACTCTAAGCAAACTGGGTTTGGAAGGAACATTCCTCAATACAATCAAAGCAATCTATGAAAAACCCACAGCCAACATCCTATTGAATGGGGAAAAGTTGGAAGCATTTCCACTGAGATCTGGGACCAGACAGGGATGTCCACTCTCACCACTGCTATTCAATATAGTTCTGGAGGTTCTAGCCAGAGCTATTAGGCAAGAAAAAGAAATTAAAGGGATACAAATTGGGAAGGAAGAACTCAAACTATCCCTCTTTGCAGATGACATGATTCTTTATTTAGGGGACCCAAAGAACTCTACCAAGAGACTATTGGAACTCATAGAAGAGTTTGGCAAAGTAGCAGGGTATAAAATCAATGCACAAAAATCAACAGCCTTTGTATACACAGACAATGCCATGGCTGAGGAAGAAATTCTAAGATCAATCCCATTCACAATAGCTACAAAAACAATCAAATACCTTGGAATAAACTTAACCAAGGACGTTAAAGATCTCTACGATGAAAATTACAAAACCTTAAAGAAAGAAATAGAAGAGGATACCAAGAAATGGAAAAATCTTCCATGCTCATGGATTGGAAGAATCAATATCATCAAAATGTCCATTCTCCCAAAAGCAATTTATAGATTCAATGCAATACCAATCAAGATACCGAAGACCTTCTTCTCAGATCTGGAAAAATTGGTGCTGAAATTTATATGGAGGCACAAGAGACCTCGAATAGCTAAAGCAATCTTGTACAACAAAAACAAAGCCGGAGGCATCACAATACCAGATTTCAGGACATACTACAGGGCAGTTGTAATCAAAACAGCATGGTACTGGTACAGAAACAGAAGGATAGACCAATGGAACAGAATTGAAATACCAGAAATCAACCCAAACATCTACAGCCAACTTATATTTGATCAAGGATCTAAAACTAATTCCTTGAGCAAGGACAGTCTATTCAATAAATGGTGCTGGGAAAATTGGATTTCCACGTGCAGAATCATGAAGCAAGACCCCTACCTTACACCTTACACAAAAATCCACTCAACATGGATTAAAGACCTAAATCTACAACCTGACACCATCAAGTTACTAGAGAACATTGGAGAAACCCTTCAAGATATTGGCACAGGCAAAGAGTTTCTGGAAAAGACCCGGGAGGCACAGGCAGTCAAAGCCAAAATTAACTATTGGGATTGCATCAAATTGAGAAGTTTCTGTACTGCAAAAGAAACAGTCAGGAGAGTGAAGAGACAACCGTCAGAATGGGAAAAAATATTTGCAAACTATGCAACAGATAAAGGGTTAATAACCAGAATCTACAAAGAGATCAAGAAACTCCACAAAAACAAAACCAACAACCCAATTAAGAGATGGGCCAAGGACCTCAATAGACATTTTTCAAAAGAGGAAATCCAAATGGCCAACAGGCACATGAAAAAATGTTCAAGGTCATTAGCAATCAGAGAAATGCAAATCAAAACCACAATGAGGTTCCACCTCACCCGGGTTAGAATGGCTCACATTCAGAAATCTACCAACAACAGATGCTGGCGAGGATGTGGGGAAAAAGGGACACTAACCCACTGTTGGTGGGAATGCAAACTGGTCAAGCCACTATGGAAATCAGTCTGGAGATTCCTCAGAAACCTGAAGATAACCCTACCGTTCGACCCAGCCATCCCACTCCTTGGAATTTACCCAAAGGAATTTAAATTGGCAAACAAAAAAGCGGTCTGCAGCCTAATGTTTATTGCAGCACAATTCACAATAGCTAAGACCTGGAACCAACCTAAATGCCCATCAACGGTAGACTGGATAAAGAAATTATGGGATATGTACTCTTTAGAATACTATACTGCAGTAAGAAACAACAAAATCCAGTCATTTGCAACAAAATGGAGGAATCTGGAACACATCATGCTGAGTGAAATAAGCCAGTCCCAAAGGGACAAATACCATATGTTCTCCCTGATCGGTGACAACTGACTGAACACCAAAAGGAAACTTGTTGAAGTGAAAGGGACACTATGGGAAACGGTGACTTGATCAGCATAGCCCTGACTGTTAATGAACAACTTAATACATTATCCCTCTTAGTAGTTTTTTTGTCTGTTCTACTTAATATGACTGATTTAATTCTGTAATTAATACACAGTTATTCTTAAGTGTTGAAATTTAACTGAAATGTGATCCCTGTTAAACATAAGAGTGGGAATAAGAGAGGGAAGAGATATATAATTTGGGACATGCTCAAGCTGACTTGCCCCAAATGGTAGAGTTAGAAACATACCAGGGGACTCCAATTTAATCCCATCAAGGTGGCATGTACCAATGCCATCTCACTAGTCCAAGTGATCAATTTCAGTACGCAATTGATCATAATGAAAGGACTAAGAGTCAAAGGGAGCACATAAGCAAGTCTAGTACCTGCTAACACTAACCGATAGAATAAATAAAGGGGAGAGTGATCCAACATGGGAAGTGAGATACTCAGCAGACTCATAGAATGGCAGATGCCCTAAATAGCACTCTGGCCTCGGAATCAGCCCTAAAGGCATTCAGATCTGGCTGAAAAGCCCATGAGAGTATTTCAGGCATGGAAAGCCAAGACACTCTGGCAAAAGATCTCTGTGAGTGAGATCTCAGTGGAAACAACAGGTCTTCAAAGAAGGAGGTACCTTTCTCTGAAGGGAGGAGAGAACCTCCACTTTGACTATGACCTTGTCTAAACAAGATAAGAGTCGGAGAACTCAAGGGGCTTCCATAGCCTTGGAAACTCATGACTGGAGCATAGGGAGATTACTGATGCCATAGACAGGAGTGTCAATTGGTAATGTCAACAACAGGAGTCACTGTGCACTTACTCCTCATGTAGGATCTCTGTCCTTAATGTGCTGTGCATTGAGATTTAATGTTATAACGAGTACTCAAATAATATATTTCACTTTGTGTTTCTATGGGGGTGCAAACTGTTGAAATCTTTACTTAATGCATACTAAACTGACCCTCTGTAAAAAAAAAAAAAAAGAAAAAAAGAAAAGAAAAGAAACTATCAACTCCCAACTTGACTCTCACTGGGATTAAACATGACAATAGGTCTGATCTGATTTCATCATCATTAAAAAAAATCATCTATTATTTTTCACTTTATGTTTCTGTGTGGGAGCAAACTGTTGAAATCACTACTTAATGTATACTAAGCTGATCTTCTGTATATTAAGATAATCGAAAATGAATCTTGATGTGAATGGAAGGGGAGAGGGAGTGGGAAAGGGGAGGGTTGTGGGTGGGAGGGACGGTATGGGGGGGAAGCCATAGTAATCCATTATTCGTACTTTGGAAACGTATATTCATTAAATAAAAGTTAAAAAAAAAATATAGCACCTGGCACTCGGTGGGCCTGGCACTCAGTGAATGTTCTTAAATGAATTCATTACTTTTCATATGCTGTGATTCCACAGATTTTCTCCCTGTGTTGTCTACAGAAAACTTAAGAGGCCCCTTAGGAGGGAATCTAATGGAATGATATATGTTGAGGCCATTTTTACTGATTCTACCAAAACCACTTGGTGTAGGAGCCTCAGGAACCAGCTCCCCAGTGTATGGGTGTAGGAAAAACAGACTTTCAGTGTTCTTCCTCAAGATCTGCAGGCACTGTTGGTCCATCCTCCACACATCCTAAACCTTCCCTCATAACCAGAATGGTTATGACTGGGATTCTGAACTACAGAACAGGTGGATAGTCTTTCAACATCAGGTTGAGTGGAGAATCTTTATCTTGAATCTAAAATTCCCTCTGGCCATTGAACATCACAGAATTATTGAGCTGAAAGGGAATAAAACTCACTTTCTGTTGCAGTTTAGTCAGGACAGAACATGTGGGATTATGTTAGAGCAGTGTATTTTCTTATTTTTTTTATACTAAAGTATAAAGGTTCTTAGTATCCACAGATAATTATAAATTGAGAGTTAAATACATTTTGGAAAAAGCTCATGATCTGGGTGATGGGGAGAGACATGCCCTTTGGCTGGGTCCCAGGAATTATTTTTGCATTATGATTTAAAAGCAGGTAACCCTGAGAAAGCACCAGAACCTTTTTCTCCCAGAGTACTTTGTGTTAGATTTTTGAAAAAAAATTGAAATGAAGACCTTCTTTGCAGAGTTTATATACAGGACTTAATACCCAGATAAGCATAACTATATACCATTTTTATACACAAGTGGTTTTTAAATATGTATTCATCATCTATTGCACTTACACATTGTGCAAAAACTGCATTCCATGCCACGCCTGAAATGTCCCAAAGCTCAGTTCTGTCAGTAAATTGCAACCAAGATTTCTACAAAAAAAGACAGAAGTCAAAGAGAATGAAGAAGAAAAAAGGATATATTTGAAGAATACTCCTCTTTCAGGAGGGATTCTAATTTTTATAGATGAAACAACACTTCCACATTTTATCTACACACTAAAGAATTTACTTGTACTGGAAGATTTGGCTTCTAAATTATACTTGCACTTTTACATTAAATTTCATCATATCATTTTCATATTACATGACATACTTGTACTGCGTGATCTTTACTTCTCTGGAACAGAGTTTCACAACTTGAATGCTATTGACATTTTGGGCTCGATAATGCCTTTCTTGTGGAGGTTTGTCCTGTATATAGTAGGTGGCTTAACAGCAGGCTGGCCTTGGCCCACTAGGTGCCAGCAGCATGTGCAGGGCTGCAAAATGTTACCTGAATACAAAATTGAGTTGGTTGAGAAGCCCTGCTCTGTGGGATTCACTCTGACCTTTGTATCTGATAGCATCTGTGCTAGAGATGAAAAGGACCTGTTACAGAATTTTAGTAACCTTCTACTACAAATGTAAAGTAGAAGCTTCACCCTATTTCAAGGTGAACAGCAAGGTGGTTTACAGGGAAGATTTACTCAAATTCCAAATATGATGAAATTGCAACTTACATAGACTGCAAAAAAGGGAGTGACTCAAATGCACGTCTTTCGATAGACTCCATTTTGTTGCAGGATAAATCTCTAGGAAAAGGAAAACATTGCCTTGATTAGCTATTACCTATATAGTCAGTGGGGATAATAAAATTTACATTTGATGAATAGGAAGGGAGCACACTGATAGTCCGGGAAGAGACAGTTTAATAAAAGTGGAGATACTGCAGGTTCAAGGAAGAGTTGTGGAAGAAACAGCAGAGGAAACTCTTCCAGAACTAGTGATTCACGGTGGAGGGCGTGGGAGTCCACAGCTCGGGACACCAGCAGCAGAATCTACCCACCAGTGCTGGATCGTGAAGTGAACCGAACCTCAATAGCTTGAGACAACCGGCAGGAAAGTAGAAGGAGCCTAGAGGGAACGAGGCTTGAAGCCCCGTAGGCGAAAGTTCACCAGGCTAACTACAGGAGAGAGGAAAATAATAAAAGGGACCAGTACGGACAGGAGTTTCACTCTCTCCGCTCACCTCTCAAAGGCGAGCAAGACAGTGAACAGATGCCATTTTGGACATGCATAATAGCAACCTCAGGGCTTAGAAGACAGAACACAGGAAAGCATACAGTCAAACCAAAGAAAAGAAGAGGAAATCAGAAATCTAAAAAATATTGTTAGGAATCTACAGGATACTAGTAAAAAAAAAATCCCAACATTTGGGTTCTAGGAATTCCTGAAGGAATGGAGAGGGAGAAAGGATTAGAAGGCCTTTTTAGTGAGATACTAGCAGAGGACTTCCTGGGCTTGGAGAAGGACAGAGACATCCTAGTACAGGAAGCTCATAGAACCCCCAGTAACCATGACCAAAAGAGATCCTCACCACGACACGTTGTAATCAAACTCACCACAGTGAAACATAAAGAAAAGATTCTAAAATGTGCAAGAGAGAAACGTCAGATTACTCTCAGAGGATCTCCAATCAGACTCACAGCAGACTTCTCATCAGAAACCCTACAGGCTAGAAGGGAATGGCAAGACATAGCCCAGGTACTAAGAGAGAAAAACTGCCAGCCCAGAATACTATATCCTACAAAGCTCTCATTTGTGAATGAAGGTAAAATAAAGACCTTTCATAGCAAACAGAAATTGAAAGAATTTGTTGCCACTTGTCCAGCCCTGCAAAAGGTGCTTAAAGATGTGTTACACACAGAAACACGGAAACACGGTCATCAATATGTAAGAAGGTAAAGGAAGGAAACCTCACAGCAAAAGATCACAGGAAGTTCAAAGCATATATTAGAAAATATCTTTGGGAAATGGCAGGGCAAAGTTACTACTTATCAATAGTCACATTGAACGTTAATGGCCTCAACTGTCCAGTTAAAAGACACAGATTGGCTGATTGGGTTAAGGAACAAAACCCATCTATTTGCTGCTTACAAGAAACACATCTTTCCAACAAAGATGCACACAGACCGAAAGTGAAAGGCTGGAAATAGATATACCATGCCAACAGAAATGAAAAAAGAGCAGCCGTAGCCATCTTAATATCGGACAACATAAACTTCAACACAAAAACTGTTAAGAGAGACAAAGAGGGGCACTATATAATGATTAAGGGATCAATTCAACAGGAAGATGTAACTATTATCAATGTATATGCACCTAATTGCAGGCACCGGTTTATTTAAAAGGTTTGTTAAGGGACTTAAAGGGAGACTTAGACTCCAATACAATAGTACTGGGGGACTTCAATACTCTACTCTCAGAAATAGACAGATCAACCAGACAGAAGATCAACAAGGAGACAGTAGATTTAAACAACACTATAGCCCAAATGGATCTAATAGATATTTACCGAACTTTTCATGCTACACTTAAAGAATTTACATTCTTCTCAGCAGTGCATGGAACCTCCTCTAGGATCAACCACATAGTAGGCCTTAAAGGAAGTCTCAGCAAATTCAAAAGAATTAGAATCATATGATGTAGCTTCTCAGACTATAAGGGAACTAAGTTGGAAATTAGCAACTCAGGAATCCCTAGAGCATATGCAAACACAAGGGGATTGAACAACATGCTCCTGAATGAACACTGGGTCATAGAAGAAATCAAAAACTTCCTGGAAGTAAATGAGGAAAACAGTACAACATACCAAAACTTATGGGATACAGCAAAAGCAGTGTTAAGAGGAAAGTTTATAGCAATAGGTGCCTATATCAAGAAAATGGAAGGCACCAAATAAATGAGCTTTCAATTCACCTCAAGGATCTAGAAAAACTGTAGTAAACCAGACCCAAATCTAGTAGGAGAAGAGAAATAATTAAAATCAGAGAAGAAGTCAATACGATTGAGTAAAAAAAAAAAATGACAAAAAAAATCAGCCAACCGAGGAGCTGGTTTTTGAAAAAATAAACAAAATTGACACCCCATTGGCCCAATTAACTAAAAAAGGACCCAAATCAATAAAGTCAGAGATGAAAAAGGAAACGTAACAACAGACACCACAGAAATAAAAAGAATCATCAGAAATTACTACAAGGAATTGTATGCCAGCAAACAGGGAAACCTATCAGAAATGGATAGATTCCTGGACACATGCAACCTACCTAAATTGAACCAGGAAGACATCGAAAACCTAAACAGACCCACAACTGGGACAGAAATTGAAACAGTAATAAAGGCCTTCCCAGCAAAGAAAAGCCCAGGACCAGATGGATTCACTGCTGAATTCTACCAGACATTTAAAGAAGAACTAACTCCAAATCTTTTCAAACTATTCAGAACAATCAAAAAAGAGGGAATCCTCCCAAATTCTTTCTATGAAGCCAGCATCACCTTAATCCCTAAGCCAGAAAAAGATGCAGCATTGAAAGAGAATTACAGACCAATATCCCTGATGAACATAGATGCAAAAACCCTCAATAAAATTCTGGCCAATAGAATGCACCAACACGTCAGAAAGATCATCCACCCAGACCAAGTGGGATTTATCCCTGGTATGCAGGGATGGTTCAATGTGTGCAAAACAATCAATGTGATACACCACATTAACAGACTGCAGAAGAAAAGCCATATGATTAGCTCAATAGATGCCGAGAAGGCATTTGATAAAATTCAACACCCTTTCATGATGAAAACTCTAAACAAACTGGGTATGGAAGGAACATTCCTCAATACAATCAAAGCAATTTATGAAAAGCCCACAGCCAACATCCTATTGAATGGGGAAAAGTTGGAAGCATTTCCACTGAGATCTGGTACCAGACAGGGATGCCCACTCTCACCACTGCTATTCAACATAGTTCTGGAAGTTTTAGCCAGAGCTATTAGACAAGAAAAAGAAATTAAAGGGACACAAATTGGGAAGGAAGAACTCAAACTATCCCTCTTTGCAGATGATATGATTCTTTATTTAGGGGATCTAAAGAACTCTACTAAGAGACTATTGGAACTCATAGAAGAGTTTGGCAAAGTAGCAGGATATAAAATCAATGCACAAAAATCAACAGCCTTTGTATACACATGCATGGTTTGAGTTCTGTGCTCCCGGCACTGGCCTCCCCACTCTCTGCCATTGCATGCATTTTGAGAATGAATAAGCGAATGAGACCTCTTTCTCTGTTGCACTGCTTCTCGAGTAAATAAATAAAAACCTTTAAAAAGAAAATAGTAGATTAAAATACCCTCCATTTTAAATCATCTTTCTCTTACTCACAAGCTTTTAATGACACTCCATATCTCATTATGAACTTTGAAACCCCTCAGCCAATATTCAAGTTTGTTTGCATATCTTTCATTGCTTCCTAAGTCCATCTCTTGTAGCCAGACAGTCTAAATCTTGATCATTCCATCAGACAAATCTTTGCCTAAAACAGACCCCCCCCCCTTTTTTTTTCTTGATTTTACAAATAATGGCCATGTTGTAAACCTCAGGTAAAGTTTTAGAATAACTGTGCTCTATCTGTGGTTCCTATGACACCCTGGAATGGCACAAAATGGCTACTATGTATAGAGGAACAAAGGTAAGGTCAGGCTACAACTGAGGGGCTCAGCAATAATGGTATTTATTACGAGTTTACATTCACATATGCTTGGAAGTGATGTATTGTATGCATCCACTCATCTAAATACACAACGGTCTAGTGAACTGATCACGGCCATAATCCAGTTTTATAGATGAAGAGATGGAATCCAAGCTAAATAACTTGTCGAAAGTCACAAAGCTAATCACTGGGAGACCTGTGTTCAAAGCCAGGCAACCTGGCTCCAGAATCTATCCTTAAACCTGTTGTATCATCTCTAATATGTTGGGATGAGGGCTGTGTTGAAGAGTGGGAGTAAAGCAATGAGGTAATAATATGGCAAATGTCAATAAATAAAGAATCAGGAAAAGGCTCTTTTGTTCGGCTGAGGGGAGGGCCGTTGGCCGGGGCCTGCGGTACGCCGCTTCAGCGAGGGGCTCGACTGCAGCCACCCGGCTTGTTGCTTTCTGGGCGCCACTCCCCCCCGGCCGGCCCGACGCGACGCGCCAGTAGCGCGACTCCGATTCTTCTCGAGCTCTTGGGCGCTGCTTTGAGCAGCGTCACCCTTTACACCAGAAAGCTGGCGGGCACCATGGGGAAAAAACAAAACAAGAAGAAAGTGGAGGAGGTGCTAGAAGAGGAGGAAGAGGAATATGTGGTGGAAAAAGTTCTTGATCGTCGAGTTGTAAAGGGCAAAGTGGAGTACCTCCTAAAGTGGAAAGGTTTCTCAGATGAAGACAATACGTGGGAACCAGAAGAGAATCTGGATTGCCCTGACCTCATTGCTGAGTTTCTGCAGTCACAGAAAACAGCACATGAGACAGATAAGTCAGAGGGAGGCAAGCGCAAAGCTGATTCTGATTCTGAAGATAAGGGAGAAGAGAGCAAACCAAAGAAGAAGAAAGAAGAGTCAGAAAAGCCACGAGGCTTTGCCCGGGGTTTGGAGCTGGAACGGATCATTGGAGCTACAGACTCAAGTGGAGAACTCATGTTCCTGATGAAATGGAAAAACTCTGATGAGGCCGACCTGGTCCCTGCCAAGGAAGCCAATGTCAAGTGCCCACAGGTTGTCATTTCCTTCTATGAGGAAAGGCTGACGTGGCACTCCTATCCCTCGGAGGATGATGACAAAAAAGATGACAAGAATTAAGTCTCTTGAGTACCAGCCCCGTCACATCCGACTGTGGGTTTCAAGTGAGGAGGGAAGAAGTTCTACTTGTCTTGACACCATAGAGGTGGCTTGAGAAGATGTCCTTTGAAGAGCCAGTATAGTTTCTGTGCCCTGCAGCAGCCCAAGTGCTTTAAGCTGTTCCAAGCTATGTAGTTCACACACCCATCCCAGTGGAGGGGAATGGGGAGAAGTGTTTCAAGGCAGCCCATTCTGTGCTTTGCTGAGAGAAGCAAAGGGCCTTCTATGAAGGACAAAACTTGCAGAATTGGGTGTGTGGGAGAACAAAAAGATACTGTAGGTCTTCAAAGAGCATCTCCACAACCCACAGCCTTCTTCCCAATAGTGTTAACTCTGCGTTTTTACAGCGTAGCATGTGTGTAGTTTTTGGCTATTACTGGTGTATTATTTAGGGGTGGGAGGGATGGGATAGGGAGAAAGGGAAATGGGTTGGATCATTTTGATTAAAATTTGGGGCTTGATTGGGGAAATGATGAAACAGTAGAGAACAACTAACTGAAGATTTGGTTCTATGTCCAGGATATTTTACCTTTTCAAAAAAATGTCATTGACACCATAAATGGGGACTGCGAGAGACTGTTTAAAAGCTGTGAATGCCTGAAACCTGTAAGCCAAGGTGTTCCCTGCCTGAGCTTAATGTCCCCCACAGAGGACTAAGCCAGTTCACAAGTTACCAAAGCTGCCGTTTTGGAGATGGAGACTGACTGGGGAGGGAGAATGTACACAGGCAGATAGAGCATTCTGTCTCAGAGGTGCTAATTCTTGAAATTAGACAAGAAGACCCTTTCTTTTCCAATTATGAAGTTGTATCAGCTTATCCATCCAAACCACTGGCTGAGGTATTGGAAGAGGGGAAGAGTACAGGAGCTGGCAGAGTAGGAAAAAACAAGGACCCATACTCTTAAGGTAGCAAACTCTTGAAGCCTCTGGTTTGTTTTGAATTTTGAACTCTGAAACCATGGGTGGCAGGGTTCAGTCACTGACAGCACAAGTTTCATTGAAACTATTCAAGGGTTGAATTTCAGAAGCCCTGGTCTCAGGAGAAGAAGAATCATTCATACTGGGGCAGAGGTTACTTTAAAACACCAAACCGGTTTTTTTTTATCCTAAGAATTAACTGAGACCCAAGATGTTCCGTCTTGATTCCTAAGATCCATCAGTTCTTGACATGGTCTAGACCTGCATCTAGAGCTGCATTGTAAAAATCTCTGTAGGCATGTGTTAGGTTTCTGTGAAAACTTTGTTTAAATGTAAACTTCATACCACACTGTCAGTTTTTGTCTTAATAAAACTATAGATTTATAAAAAAAAAATCAGGAAAAGGAGTAAGGGCAATCACATGAGACTGTAGAAGGGACAGAGAGAAGAAGAGAAGGAGGATCAGGAAAGCTCACAAGCAAAGTGGCCACTTGGGGGGTGAACCAATGGCAAAAGGAAGACCTTTCTCTCTTTCTCTGTCTAACTGCCTGCCAAAACACACACACACACACACAGTCAACATAAGGTGGGGACTTGAGGAGGGCTCAGGAGGCTCTTGAGGAAAAGCTGCTGAGACAGGCAGGCTGTAGGGAACCATGAGGAAGGGAGATTCTTACAATATGCTGAAGGTGCCGTTGTAGCTGTTGGGCTCTGGTACAGGAACTCTGTGAAGCTTCTGCACTGGGCTGAGGCCAGTGCACGAAAGTGTCTCATCTTTGCAGGTGCAGAGCTCACAGACATTTATGGTGGCAGCCGCATTCAGGGGTTGATCTGTGACTTCAGTTAGGGTTGAGTGCTGAGTCTGAACCTGGCCTGGATGCAGATCTGTAGTCTTCTTCAGGGATGGAGAATGGCCAGCTTTTGCAGTGGGTACCAGAGTTATGGTAAGCTCCATCTTGGAAGGCTGAGCTATGACACTGGGTGATGTTGGGTGCTGAGCTTGATGCTGACCTGCTGTTGGAACTGTCATCTCATTGTCCCCTGGGGACTGAGTTACGAGCTCCTTTAGTGGCTCTGTAGACTGAGTTAGGGTCATTTGCATGGTAGTAGAAGGTGTAGCCTCTGTAGTACGTTGTGGAGTTTGGGTAATTTCCAGGTCCAGAGGCTTGACTGTGACTTGAGGCAGGTTTGTATACTGAGTCTGAATCTGGACTGGAGGTGAAAATGTCACCTCAGGGTACATTGGATAAGGAGGAGGAGATATAGACTTGGAGGCTGTAGAATGTTCATCCTGTGTAGTGGGTACCTGAGTTATGGTTGACTCTAACTTCGAAGGTTCAGCTGTGGCACTGGGTGACATTGGATGCGGAGTTTGATCTTGACTTGGTTTTGGAACTACCATCTCATAATAAACTGGAGGCTGACAGACCACTTCATTATGTGGCCCTGGAGGCTGCCCTGAAGTCTCCTGCATGGTTGGGAGTGGTTCACCCTCCACAACGGATTCTGGAGTTAGGGTAAGTTCTACATCAAAAGGTTGAACTGTGACTTCTGTCAGGGTTGGATGCTGAGCCTGAACCTGGTCTGGTTGTGAAAGTACCCCCTCATGGAGCACGGGAGGTACTTTAGTCTTCTTCAGGGCTGTAGAATGTTCAGCCTTCCTGGTACGCTTTGCATTTATGGTAAGCACTGTGTCCAAAGTCCAGATGGATACTTTTAAAAAAGTCTTTCAGGGGGCCAGTGCTGCGGCTCACTAGGCTAATCCTCTGCCTGTGGTGCCAGCCTCTCGGGTTCTTGTCCGGTTCGGGTGCCGGATTCTGTCCCGGTTGCCCCTCTTCCAGGCCAGCTCTCTGCTGTGGCCCGGGAGTGCAGTGGAGGATGGCCCAAATGCTTGGACCCTGCACCCCATGGGAGACCAGGAGAAGCACATTGCTCCTGCCTTCGGATCAGCGCTGTGCACCGGCCACTGCGCTCTGGCCACGGTGGCCATTGGAGGGTGAACCAACGGCAAAAAGGAAGACCTTTTTTTTTCTCTCTCTCTCTCACTGTCCACACTGCCTGTCAAAAAATAAATAAATACATAAAGTCTTCAGGGGGGCCATCGCCGTGGCTCAGTGGGATAATGCCTTGGCCTTAAGCGCCAGCATCCCATATGGGTGCCGGTTAGAGACCCAGCTGCTCCACTTCTGATCCAGCTCTCTGCTACGGCCTTGGAAGGCAGTAGAAGATGGCCCAAGTCTTTGGGCCCCTGCATCCAGGTGGGAGACACTGATGAAGCCCCTGACTTTGCATTGGTACAGCTCTGACCACTGCAGCCAACTAGGGAGTAAACCAGCAGATGAAAGATCTCTCTCTCTCTGGCTCTCCTCTCTCTCTGTAACTCTGAGTTTCCAATAAATAAATAAATCTTTAAAAAAAAAGTCATTCCATGGCCAAGTGGTTGGGCCCCTGCATCCACGTGGGAGACTTGGAGGAAGCTCCTAGCTCCTGGCTTCAGATCAGCACAGCTCCAGCTGTTGCGGCATTTGAGGAGTGAACCAGCAGATGGAAGACCTCTCTCTTTGTCTCTACTTCTCTCTGTAACTCTTTCGAATAAATAAAATAAATCCTAAAAAAAAAAAAATGGTTGCACAACCCTGACTATGCTGGAAGCCCAGGCCCTGCCCATTCACAATGGCTCCACTGGTGGTATGTGACCTAGAGCCCCTAGGTATGCAACTGAGGCCTGACATGGCCGGGGCCTCCTGGAAACGCGCTGGGCCCTCTCCACTACATGTCCCTGCGCTGGCTGCGCTAAGCCCATATCTGGGCCTGTGCAGAGGAGCCAGCGCTTGTCAAGGCCACGCCATCTGCACCGGGGAGGGACAAGTCTCCGTGCTGTGTGAGGCTGGACCCCGGGGAAGGCCAAGGCTGGCACACCCTCCTCCTCTGAGGAGCCTAACTAATGCTCAGCACTGCAGGGGCTTCCCTTACTAAGGGCGACCTGCTCCTGGAGGACTTCAAAACAACACCAACAGCGTGGGTCACACCGGGACATCATTTACACAGCTTCCTCTGAATGACTTCCGACAGGATGTGCCACGACCACAATGCTGTCCGCTCCCCACGCAGCACAGGTGCTTGGCGACCGACCACGTGCTCTGCTCGGGTCCCGGGTGGGGACAGCCTGCCCCTCTCCCTGTGAGGCTGCGGTGAGTTGGACCCTTCCGGGCTCTGGTTGGAGTGCACAGGGGCTTACCTCGGTGAGGCCTTTAATCTTCAAGTAGCCACAAAGGTAAGAGTTCCCTGTGTCCACGTGCTGCAAAGAGAAGACACACAGATGAACAACATATCCAGCGGGGCACACGCCGCGGTGCTGCGAGATCCCGCCAGGCCAGGCTGGGGAAGGCGGCAGAGCCCAAGGCTCCCCACCAGCCCCCGGGGCCCTCAGGAGTCCCCTGTACACATGCGCCAAGTGGCCTGTAGACAAAGCCAGCTGGTCCCAGAACGCTGTCAGCTCCCTGCAGCTGAGGACCTTGGACCGCTCACTGACCGCTCAGGCCTCTGGCTGGGCTGCAGGCTGTGGCACGAGCCCTCCCCACCCGTGCACGTGGTGCCCGCCACCCCTGACCCCGGCTGACTTCTCTCCCTAGTCCATTTCCGCGTCGGTGCTGCGTGACCGTCCCACGAATGGGCAGAAGACTCCAAGCAGCCTCTTAGCAAACCCCCGTGGCACAGCACGTGCCAGCCACAAACTAAGATGCCAGTCAAGCACCCTGACCACCCTGTGAGTGCCCGCCCTGTCCACACGCTCATGTTTCTAATGACAAGAGCCAGGAGCCCAGGAGGAAGAGGCGCGAGGGGCACAGTGGATTCTGAGGGTGGCAGCCGCCAGCCGATGCCCACCCACCAGCCAATTTCCTCTTCTTCCACGCTGGCCTCCCCCGCCCCAAGAGACCTGCTCAACCCTGCTGGGTGTACAGTAAACTTGCTGCCCTTGGAGCCATTAGGTTAGGGATGGAGGGCTTTCAAAGTGGTGAGTGAGCGAGCAAGGGCTTTTGCTACCCGGTGGCTGGAGGCTCTGTGTGCAGGGTCCATTCTCGGAGACCGAGACAGATGGGACAGGGAATGTCAGGGTTGGCTGCGAGGGAAGGTGGAAGATTACCGGGCCCGCTGTGGGTCCCGCCAGGAGCCAGCCTGCAACCACACCAGCTCCACACGCCTCGAGGTGTGCCGTGACAGCTCCAGTGACTTCTTATGTGGCTCTGAGACCGGCATGGTTACTTTGTGGCTGAACTCGCAGGGTCCACCCGCACCCGTGGCGTCATCCTGAGCGGGGTCCCTGGCACAGGAAACCCTCGGATTAAAGCATCGTGCTCCCTGGAGCACACGCTGAGATGTTTCACGTCACGTGAGGGCTCGGGCTGAGAAACTGGACAAGTTTTTGTGCCATTTATCAGGTCTGAGACGGCAACTACTTCGGGTAACGCCATAAATCAGACACTAAGGCAAGGCCTCCACGCAGCAATGAACTCGGGCAGCCAGAGGATGCCAGCACCGCAGGGACGCTGAGGTGCCTCCAGGCTTGGTGCTGGTGACAAAGGTGTTCCCTGCGAAACCTGCCAGAGCACTTGTAGGTACCGTCATCTGCTGACCTTGGCACTGGGGGAAGCGTTTGGAACAGCTGAGCCACACTCGCTCACCCACAGCTCTGACCTGCAGCTCCCGTCCTGTGGGCGATTCTCCCTGAATTCCATAGAGTTTGGGGGTTTCACAGCCGCTCGAGAGGGCGGGGAAGGGCATGGCAGTTAATAAGATGCTGACAGCACCCGGGCGGAAAGTGCCCGGTCTGAGCAGCCAGCAGTCGTGGGTTGCACCGGGAGATCCTGCTCTGCCCGCAGCAAACTCCAGCAGGAGGAGGGCCCCAAGAGGAGGACCCTGGACAGCGGGTCTCGGTCTGGGAGACTCGGGGAGGCTCCCTCAGGGTCTTAGCAGGCGGGAGGACCCGGCCAGAGGGTCCTGCAGCACCACCTCTACGTCGTACGAATTCCCCTTGCTCTTCTGGTGGCCACGGAACTCGGAGCCGCTGTAGAGCAGGCTGGTGGCCACGCCGGGCTGCTGGGTGTAGATGGGGGGCGGCTGGATGAGCGAGGCCGCGGACGCGGCAGACGCACTGGCCGGCGGGGGGCACTCGGTGCGCACCGGCATCGCGGGGAAGGGGCAGGGGAGGGGAGAGGAACCGCCACCGTTGCCGCGCGGGTGCCGGGGCGTTAGGGGCACAGCGCGCACGCGCGGGGCACGGGCGGGGGGGGGGCGCCCGCTCGCTGCGCACCGAGCACTCCGGCCGCCCCCGCGACCTGGACCTGCGAGCAGGGCCTCCCGGTACTGAGCTCAGACCCCTACTCTACTTTCCCTCCACCTGCTCCGGAGCGCCGGGGAGGGCGGGAGCAAGCTCACGCGGCGCTTCCGCCCATTGGCGAGCAGAGAAAACACGTGGCGGGCAGCGCGAGGGCACTTCTGGGAATTGTAGTCTTATTCCGGAGGCGCGGCGCGGAGGAGGGGCGGGGCGAGGAGCGTTTGTGATGCAGGTTCTCCGGCGGGGGCGGGGGCGGTGTGCGCAGGAGGCGCGCGGCGGCTACGGTGCGCCGTAGGGCTCATGCGGAAGATGGCGGCGTCCAGAGGCGGCTGAGGGGATCCGGGGAGGCGTGAGAGGTTTCCGTACAGCCGGACAGCGCGGCTTGGTCTCGCGCCCCGCGTGCGCCCGAGGCCCTTGGGGCGCGATGTGGAGGAGCTGCCTCCGGCTGCGGGACCGGGGGCGCCGCCTCCTGACTCGGCCCGTGGGGCCGGGGCCAGCCCTGGGGTCCCCGGCCCGGGCCTACGCGCCGCCGACAGGTGAGGGGCCACGTCGGGCTGGGGTGGGCTGAGAGCGAGCTTTTGGGCGTGCAGGGCCGGGCGGCGGGACCGGGCTCGCATGGTTAATGGGAGCACGAGGCGTCTGCTAAGGGAAGCGAGGGTCAGCCGAGGTTTCAAACGGGGCAGGTTCGGGTCGCGGGTCAGGACTTGGCCAAGGTCACAGGGCAGAGGTCAAGGCTGCAGCTTCCTGGCCGTGTCTAGCCGTCTGTCCTGAACAAGTGGGCGACCCCTCTGCCTCCCAACTCGAGGAGGCCTGTGGGAGGCGGTGACGCTGGTTCCCCGCAGGAGGCGGGGTTTGGGGGTGGGGCGGGGGGACATCGGGAGTGGCGTCTCTTTCCGCTGTTTTCCTGGGCCGGGGGCGCAGCAGGGGTGAGTGTGTGTAGCCAGGTGACCAAGCTGAACCTCTAACCCGCCGCGGCGATCCGAAGTCAGGAGCAGGAGCTTCTTCGGGTCTCTCACGCGGGTACAAGGACTTGGGCCATCCTCCACTGCTTTCCCAGGCCACAGCAGAGAGCTGGATCAGAAGTGGAGCAGCCGGGACTCGAACCGTAGCCCATATGGGATGCCAGCACTGCAGGCGGCGGCTTTACCTACTACACCACAGCGCCGCCTCCTGGTTTATACAAATGAGATGTGTCGTGTGTGTCGGCCTCCCCCCCCCCCCCCCCCCCCCCCCCCCCGTCAGGGCCCGCAGGTGTGCCAGGAAGAGCCATTAGCAGAAAAGGACGGGCGTCCCCAGTGGGGCCCAGCACCAGCAAAGGGCGCAGAAGGAAAGGGTTGAAATGGAGGCCGCTCACTTGGCCTTGGACCCGCCGGCTTCCTCTGGAGTGCGGATCCCCCGGATGTCCCCGGTGCGTGGTCGGCAGTCAGATGCAGAGAAAACACGCGTGGATGAGGGAACGCAGCAAGGGGCGAGGAGACACGGAGACCAGGCCCCCGCGTGCACGCGCGCGCGTGTGTGTGTGTGTGTGCGTGCGTATGTGTGTGGGTGTGTGCGTGCGTGCATGCCTGTTTGTGTGCGTGCGCTCATGTGTGTGCGTGCATGTGCGCACGTGCGTGTCTGCGTTCTAGAAGGCTCCTCCAGTTCTCAGCTTCAGCGTGGGGGAAGTCGCGCCAGGCCGGTTGTTCTCGGGGGAGACTGCAGTGTGGCCCTGAGGTCATCAGAGGCCGGGGCAGGGGGGTTAGGAGAGGGTCTCTGAGGCGCTGGGAGACTTGATGTGACAGCCTGGCTCCATGCTGCCCCGTGTGGGAGGTGTCCTGGCTGCGTGGGCATGCCCAGTGGGGCCTTGTCTGTCGCCTGGGCCACACGGCTGCTCCAAGTGTGTACCCGCACCCCCTACCCCAGCCCCGGCAGCCTCCTAGGGTGCGCTGTGAAATCCAGGCAGGGTTTGTTATGCGTAGACCAGGAAGCTAGCCTGCTACTTGTTTTCTTTTTTTTTTTTGGAGCAAATGACAAATAAAGTTTTATTGGCACAGAGACAGTGCTCTTTCATTTACCCGTCATTTCCAGGTGCTTTCACCGAACAGGAAGTTGGGAGTTCCCAGCAGAGACCGCGTGGCCTGCAAGGCCTGGAATTTGTGCCTTGTGGTTCTTGTTTTATTTATTCATTTTTATTTGAAAGGCAGAGTTACGGGGGTGGGGGGAGAGGGAAAGAGACAGAGAGAGAGCGGGTGAGCACTTGGGCCATCTTCCACTGCTTTCCCAGGCCACAGCAGGGAGCTGGATCAGAAATGGGGCAGCTGGGACTCGAACCGGCGCCCATCTGGGATGCCCGAGTCACAGGCGGCAGCTTAACCCGCCATACGCCACAGCACCAGCCCTGCCTTGTGGTCTTGACAGGAAGTTTGTCAGCCCCTGGCCTGCATGTCAGAGCTGTCTGGAAAATAGCGTGTTCGTACATTGGGCTGGGGCAAAAAAAAAAAAAAGAGTTGAGCACTTCATCGAGAGCTGATTCGCTTACGCTGCAGGTCATTCTCTTTCGGTCAGATTCAGGGGGTGTTAGTACATTCCGATCGTGCACTCTGCATCACGCTCAATTTTGGAGCATTTCTGTCACCCCCAGAAGGAACTCTTACCCTGCAGTTATCATCTCCCCTTACCCTGTCCACCCTCCAGCCACGGGCAACCGCTACTGCCCTGTCTCCATTTCTAGATTGCTCTGTGTTGGACATTTCAGGTAAAGAGAGTGTAGTCTTTTAAAACCTATTTAGGGGGCCGGTCGCTGTGGCGTAGCGAGTAAGCTGACGCCTGCAGTGCTGGCATCCCATATGGGCGCTGGTTCGAGTCCCGGCTGCTCCTCTTCCCATAAAACTCTGTGCTGTGACCTGGGAAAGCAGTGGAAGATGGCCCAAGTCCTTGGGCACCTGCACCTGCATGGGAGACCTGGAAGAAGCTCCTGGCTCCTGGCTTTGGATCGGCACAGTTCCAGCCGTTGCAGCCATCTGGGATAGTGAATCAGTGAATGGAAGACCTCTCTCTCTCTCTCTGCCTCTCCTGTCTCTCTGTAACTCTGACTTTCAAATGAATAAATAATTTTTTTAAAAATCTATTTGTAAAACCTTTATAGCTGATATATAAAAATTGTACACTCTGACGGGGTCCCACGTGATGTGTCAGTGCATCGCACACGCTGTGAGAACTCAAATCAGTTACCATGGGAGTCCCGGGGCCGGCAAGGTTTCAGCCCACAGGCCGTGTAAGGAACACAGAACCATGTGGTCTCAGCAGGGCTGGACAGAAATTCAGTAAACCTGCAGCAGGCTGAGTTTCTTTCTTTCTTTTTTTTTTTAAAGATGTATTTATTTATTTGAATGTCACAGTTACACAGAGAGAGAAGCAGAGGCAGAGAGAGAGAGGGCAGGTCTTCCATTCTCTGGTTCACTCTCCAATTGGCCACAGTGGCTGAGCTGAGCCGATTTGAAGCCAGGAGTCAGGAGCTTCCTCCAGGTCTGCCCTCGCGGGTGCAGGGCCCCAAGCACTTGGGCCATCTTCTACTGCTTTCCCAGGCCACAGCAGAGAGCTGGATGGGAAGTGGAGCAGCAGGACTTGATCTGGTGCCCATATGGGATGCCGGCGCTGCAGGCAGCGGCCTCACCCACTCTGCCATGGCGCCGGCCACCTGTGGTGGTTCTAGCTGTAGTTTCTGGAGAAGCCTTTGTGTTGCCTTGCACCGCGACTGCACAGATTCCCACCCGCAGCCTCCGAGGGTGCCCTCCCTCACCTCCTCGCCGGTGTGCATTATCTCCTGCACCTGACAAGGGAGACGCTCTCTCCCCGGGCTGGCTCTGCGCTCCCGTGACGATTCACCGTGCTGAGCCTTTGCTCGGGTCCCTTTGGGCGTCTGTGTGTCCTCCTTCGAGGGGTGTCTGTGTACAGCTCTTGCTCTCTCTCTGGCTCCTTTGGGTGCTGTTTTTGGGCTGAAGTTGCTTCTCTGTGCCCCCTCGTCAGGGGCAGAGTTTGTGAATATTTTCTCCTGTTCTGTGGGTTGTGCCTTCGCTCTGTTGATTGACTGTTGCACTGCTGTAAGAGGGTTTTTAGTTTGATGGGACCCCACTTGTCTGTTTTTTGCCTTCGTCTTTAAGGTCGTATCAAGTATTCGTACTTTTGGTTCTTTA